CTCGAAAAAGGAGCTAAACATTGATTTCAAACAATGAAGGATGAATTAGTTCCTATTGTAGGAAGTTAGCACCCACCCCTCTCCTAGAAAAATGAGATATTTTAGGAAACATTAAAAGGGCAGAATATTTCCTCTAAAAGGGAGGCAGAAACTCAGCACCCCCCATCTTTGTCAATGGACCACTAAGGCCTGAGCCAGGCTATTCCACATAATAAAAATCTACCTCCTTCAGGTAGAGCCATAGTAGGAATTGCCCAAAGCCCTCTACCCATCTCACCACATGGCACCTGGGAAGATTACATCACCCAGCAAGGCTCAACCAAGCCTGGGACTCAAGACAGCCTGAAGAGTTGCCCCTGCATGGTCCCATGGGTTTCTGACAACCAATCAGAATACAAGCTCAAATTCAAAAGCCCAGAGAGGGCATAAAACCGGGGCACTCTCAGCATCTCTTCCCTTTTGAACCCAGGACCTCAAACCATGAGGACCTGTCCACCATCAATAAACCTTCTTTCCAAGCAACTTCCATGAATCCAGTATCTTTTTCCCCACTTGGAACTGAACCCAAATGGAATTCACATAAAACACTATCGTCTTTTACGATATCCAGTTCTAAAACAGGACATCCATTCACCAGCTTCTCATATGGTTTCATTTTTAGCATTATCCTCATTTTTTTTCCTTCTCTTACCCTTCGCTGCTTTCTTTTGCTCTGCTGCTTGGAACATCTGCATTTTTTACTCAAATTGCACAAACTACTTAAGACGTTATCTCTAACACAGATAAACTGTGAGCAAATTTGGATCGATAGGGATTGAAAAGCTACATTTTTCCAGCCCTGAAAACAGGCCTACAGCACGGCCTAACAATAAACTAGATTAAATGCAAAGGTAACTCAGCACACGAGAAACAAATAAAGGAAGATACATGCGTGCTTATACATTGGAAGAGATTAGTATTCATGTCATAACATGAATTTATTCAAACACTTGCATCAGAGAGTAAAGTCCGCTATTTGCAACGACAAAAATCGCCAGTCCAAATTAACTGTAAATTAATTGCCTCCTTCTAAATTGCAAACGCAGATCATTTCATCGACTAAACACTTCCTCTATCGCTTAATCATCTTTAAGCAGTTAATTATTTTGTCTTTGCAACCGCTTTAAACATTTTATTAATTATAATTTACTGTTTTAATGCATGTCTTAATAAATGCGCACCTGTTAGGTACGAAAGACCAATATGTGAAGGTTCAATTAAATAGATTTATTGCTCAAATTGTCTACATCCTAACCAGAAGTGGCATTTAGCAGGTTCTGACTGGTTCTGGATAACCGGTAGTGGAAATTTTGAGTAGTTTGGAGAACTAGTAAATACGACTTCTGACTGGCCCCACCCCCATCTATTCTCTGCCTCCCGAGTCCCAGCTGATCGGGAGGGAATGGGGATTTTGCAGTAACCTTCCCCTGGAGTGGG